AACTTGAAGTTTGAACTTGAAGGTTGAACTTGAAGGTTCAACTTGAAGTTTGAACTTGAAGGTTCAACTTGAAGTTTGAACTTGAAGGTTGAACTTGAAGTTTGAACTTGGAGTTTGAATTTGAAGGTTTAACTTGAAGTTTGAACTTGAAGGTTGAACTTGAAGGTTCAACTTGAAGTTTGAACTTGAAGGTTCAACTTGAAGTTTGAACTTGAAGGTTGAACTTGAAGGTTGAACTTGAAGTTTGAACTTGAAGGTTGAACTTGAAGTTTGAACTTGAAGGTTGAACTTGAAGGTTGAACTTGAAGATTGAACTTGAAGGTTGAACTTGAAGTTTGAACTTGAAGGTTCAACTTGAAGTTTGAACTTGAAGGTTCAACTTGAAGTTTGAACTTGAAGTTTGAACTTGAAGGTTGAACTTGAAGGTTGAACTTGAAGTTTGAACTCGAAGGTTGAACTTGAAGTTTGAACTTGAAGGTTGAACTTGAAGTTTGAACTTGAAGGTTCAACTTGAACTTTGAACTTGAAGTTTGAACTTGAAGTTTGAACTTGATGGTTGATCTTGAAGGTTGAACTTGAAGTTTGAACTTGAAGTTTGAACTTCAAGGTTGAACTTGAAGTTTGAACTTGAAGGTTGAACTTGAAGATTCAACTTGAAGATTGAACTTGAAGGTTGAACTTGAAGTTTGAACTTGAAGGTTCAACTGGAAGTTTGAACTTGAAGGTTGAACTTGAAGTTTGAACTTGAAAATTCAACTTGAAGTTTGAACTCGAAGATTGAACTTGAAGTTTGAACTTGAAGGTTGAATTTGAAGTTTGAACTTGAAGGTTGATCTTGAAGGTTCAACTTGAAGTTTGAACTTGAAGGTTGAACTTGAAGTTTGAACTTGAAGGTTGAACTTGAAGTTTGAACTTGAAGATTGAACCTGAAGTTTGAACTTGAAGTTTGAACTTGAAGGTTGAACTTGAAGGTTCAACTTGAAGATTGAACTTGAAGGTTCAACTTGAAGTTTGAACTCGAAGATTGAACTTGAAGTTTGAACTTGAAGTTTGAACTTGAAGGTTCAACTCGAAGTTTGAACTTGAAGGTTGAACTTGAAGTTTGAACTTGAAGGTTCAACTTGAAGTTTGAACTTGAAGGTTCAACTTGAAGTTTGAACTCGAAGATTGAACTTGAAGTTTGAACTCGAAGGTTGAACTTGAAGTTTGAACTTGAAGGTTCAACTTGAAGTTTGAACTTGAAGGTTGAACTTGAAGTTTGAACTTGAAGGTTGAACTTGAAGTTTGAACTTGAAGATTGAACCTGAAGTTTGAACTTGAAACTTGAACTTGAAGTTTGAACTTGAAGGTTGAACTTGAAGGTTCAACTTGAAGTTTGAACTTGAAGTTTGAACTTGAATGTTCAACTTGAAGTTTGAACTTGAAGTTTGAACTTGAAGTTTGAACTTGAAGGTTGAACTTGAAGGTTGAACTTGAAGTTTGAACTTGAAGGTTGAACTTGTAGGTTCAACTTGAAGTTTGAATTTGAAGGTTGAACTTGAAGGTTGAACTTGAAGGTTCAACTTGAAGTTTGAACTTGAAGGTTGAACTTGAAGTTTGAACTTGAAGGTTGAACTTGAAGGTTCATCTTGAAGTTTGAACTTGAAGGTTGAACTTGAAGGTTCAACTTGAAGGTTCAACTTGAAGTTTGAACTTGAAGGTTGAACTTGAAGTTTGAACTTGAAGTTTGAACTTGAAGGTTAAACTTGAAGTTTGATCTTGAAGGTTGAACTTCAAGGTTCAACTTGAAGTTTGAACTTGAATGTTCAACTTGAAGTTTGAACTTGAAGGTTGAACTTGAAGGCGTGTTTTTCATTCCATCGAAGAAAGTGCGCACTGATAGATGCGGTTTTTTGTCGTGACGTCACCAATTGTTCTGTTGGAATTTATGCTGGAAGGATTGAACAATGGTTTATACAACACATTGATGGAAACACGGATTTTGTTGTGTGTCAGTCATCATGTATCTTGAGAATCAGAAAAGGCTAATTCGACTTCATTGATTAACACTGACTCTTTCTTCTAAAATCTCTCAAGACTCTCAAAAATCCTCAATATTAATTGTTTTCTATCAAATCAAAACAGAAAACAACACTAAAATGTGTCAACTGTCATGTCAATCTCCTCCAAACTGCTGGATTCTCGAAATGCGATTTAAAAGTGCGCATTTTATTACAACAGTTTGATGGATGTCCATCAACATTCCAGCGGAATTTTGCAACAGTTTGATGGTTTCTTCGATTCATGCGCATGATAAAATGTTGGAATGAAAAACGCACCCAGGTTATCTTTATTTCTGGCTCCAACCAACCGTCCTTGAGAAATCAGCTACCGCATAAGCTAAGTTCTCGCTGTTCTCGCATATACTCAAGGTTGGTAGAATTGATGATTATTCGTACAAATAATCATCAATTCTACCAACCTTGCATATTCTGACCACCAATGCCATCTGTCTGTATATCACTGACCCAAAATCAGTTGTGGCTAAATCGCCCATAAGAAAAGTACATCTGCCCTGCGTCTGCGTTTGCCCATTTTCCCTTTGAATTTGTTGGATTGAGACATTATTGGGAGCGATCCATACAATGAACTTAATAAACATGTGTGATTAGGCAATGCTCAGATCAAACATTGCAAACGTATTTTGTTCGTTTGTTTTCAGGTAGGTATAGAAACCCAAAGAAACAAAGGTAAAATTGCAAGAATATTTTTTTTTCCACAGTTATTATTACATGTAATATACAGGGTGTCCGTAAAGGTCATGTCGTAAATAATGATAGGGCTGATAGAGTGAGCCAAAAATGAATAAAAGTCTATACCTATCGCACTTCGTTACGGAGAAATTGGCCTTGAAAATTTGAATAAAATAAAATCATGTACTGGTTTTGCAACAGTTTTGCACTATTTTACACTATATTTGACTATACGTATATATGGTTCTCTCCAAAATGTTTCATAGAAATAATTTTGAGCGCATTTTTTAATAAAACTACCTCTTATTCATCATTGAATTAGTGCAAAACACTTTCAACAATTGAAATTATGAATTCTTGGAAGAAATAATAACGTCCTTTATTTATTTTCTTGAAACCACCATCTTTTCCTCACTATTTTGATGATGATGGATGAATTAGATTGCCACTAACAATTTGGCTTTCAAACTATTCATATTCAATATTTCCGCCATTCCGCCAATATCAAAACTACACTGACTGCGGCACGAATCTTTGAGTTCTGTGGGCACGACCAATGTGAACCAGTTTTTCATTGGAATCCAAAACCCGACACCAGTTTTACCAATGGAATACAATAAAATATGTACCTACTCGATCACAGTGCGAGCCAGTTTTACTAATGAAATTCGCTATAACTCATTCTCCTCTGAATGACGCAAAGACACATCGCTAATTTATTCCATCACAAACATCATATCGCAATTATACATTGCAAGAATGAGATAAGAGAGAACTTGTCGATCGCAGCGACGTCCCATCATGAAGTTGTTTATATTGAGTTCATTGATCTTGAATTTGACAAAATATCATTCTTCTGACATCGCGACAACGTCTATATGCGATATAGCATTATCGCAGGTCACAATATCGTTACATCGCTGCGATATATATATGTGTGATGTAACTGTGTTTGCTGGGGATGAGAATGCACATTATGCACCATAATCGGTAACGAAGTGAGATTGACATTTTTTTTATATGAAGTAGGTACTAACAATATTTTGGCATACATATCAGCCCTATCATTTACGACATGACTTTTCCAGACACCCTGTACATAATGTTTGGGGTCTCTCGATAGAAAATAACACATCGCCCCACCTGACGGCAACAACTTGAACAATTGGACAACTAAACAGGCTGCTTTGACATCGTTCAAGAACTCCGATAGATGGTGTACGCTTATTTTCTATAAATTTATTTGATATTGAATTTTTCAAATTTTCATTTTGGTTACCGTACTGATAATTGGATTATCCTGTAGGAGCGATTATTTATTATTTTGGTGTAGCGTAGTTTTTAAAAACCGACAATGAAAAATGGGCGGACAGCGCTAGCAACAGTTATGTCTCCGGACGGATAGCGCTAGCGACCGTTACGTCTCTGGGCGGACAGAGCTAGTTATATCATTGGCACTGGCAACATCAGCTAAAAAGAACCAATAAAAAAAAGAAGACGAAACGTGAAAACTGTCAAATGTCATTTATGTGTTATGTCCACTCCACTCTGCACCAATCTGCACTCTGCAGCTGTCACTGTCATGCTGTATTCAAGTTTTCACTTGATAATTTGATAGTCCCGATACCGCGATACCAATTACCAATAATAATAAAATGGTTTGGATAGTGTTTTGGAGAAGAACGTGTGATAAAGCGAAAGATAACAAAAAGTTCGCTTAACCTCCACTACTGTTAGCCGAGACGAAGTATTTAAAATCTTTGAAGGAGCTGAAAATTTCCGACAATATCGCCATCATGTAAAACTGTGATCTTATTTATATCATTCCTCTTATCCTATCACAACTATCATAACTTTAGAGCAATACATGATAGCATATGTTATGGCATAGATTATGAAGCTTTAATGTAATTGAAAACCAAAGAATTATGCAAGCAAAGAGACGGTACTTACTGGTCTGTTTAGTAGCATTCCTAACATTCTGCTATTTTGGTGGTTATCATTTTCGGGGTAGCCAAGATATCCTGCTAGATATTGAAGAGTTAGCTAGCTATATAAGCCTAAACACAATAGATACTGGCTATCTAGTTAGAGGAAGAGAAAGTAACTTGATAGATGATAAAAAAAACTGTGGAATGGAAACATGTTTTGACTTTAGCAAATGTGAGAAAGACTTCAGAGTATATGTATATCCTCAGGAGGACAGCAGTATGCCTAGTCCGTCCTATCTTAAACTGCTCAATGTCCTGCTAGAATCTAGATATTATACTGCTGATCCCAGAGAAGCTTGCATTTTTGTACTAAGTATTGACACACTGGATAGAGATCGCTTGAGTAATGATTATGTCAGAAATATGCAGAGTAAACTACAACGCTTACCTCATTGGAATAATGGCCTTAATCATGTCATATTCAACCTGTACTCTGGTACCTGGCCAAACTACACAGAAAATGACTTGGATTTTGATTATGGGAAAGCTATTTTAGCAAAAGCCAGCATGTCAGAGAACCATGTAAGGGCTGGCTTTGACATTAGCATCCCTTTGTTCCACAAAGTGCACCCTGCAAAAGGGGGTGAACCAGGGGCTCCTTCTGCTAATAACTTTCCTTTAGAGAAGACCTATTTGTTGGCCTTCAAAGGCAAAAGATATGTACATGGGATTGGATCTGACACAAGAAACTCACTCTATCATTTGCATAACAGGAAAGATATCATCATGGTCACCACTTGTAGGCATGGAAAAAGCTGGAAAGATATGAAAGATGATAGGTGTGATGAGGACAATAAGGAATATGACAAGTAAGATCACTTTTGAATATACAGGCCTAACACATATTTTTTCTTTTCAATTTGATTACTGTATTAATTTTGTTTAGATATGACTATGAAACACTACTGCAAAATTCTACATTTTGCTTGGTACCACGTGGTAGAAGATTGGGCTCCTTCAGGTTCCTAGAAGCTCTGCAAGCTGGATGCATTCCAGTTCTGTTGTCCAATAGCTGGTCATTGCCATTTTCCCAAGTCATTGATTGGAACAAAGCTGCAGTATGGGCAGATGAACGTTTGTTATTACAGGTAAAAATCTCCATTTAACTCTCCTGGGCTACACAACAAAAATATTGAAATGTATAGTGATGTTCCACAGACTACAGGCTGGCAAATTTAATAGAAATAAAAGTCAGATTTCAAAGTGCTGTAACTGTAACAGATTCATTTTTTATCATCCAGGCAATAAAATGTTTGTTATATATTGTATCATCTTTGAATAAGTTCTTGAGGTTGATAAGTCTAGATGTCAATCATTATTTCTAAATTCAAAAGTTTGATTGCAGGTTCCTCACATAGTTCGTTCCCTGGCACCCAATAAGATTCTGCAGCTGAGACAACAAACTCAAGTTCTCTGGGATAGATACTTTTCTTCTATAGAAAAAATTGTCCATACAACACTAGAAATAATCCGAGAAAGACTTCCAAAGCAGCCAATCAGGGATGGAACGGTGTGGAATAATTTTCCAGGAGCCCTAGTGACGCTGTCTACTTATTCAGACTCCCCTGAAGACTTCCCTTTTTATTCAGAAAAAGATGAAAGAATGGGATTCACAGCTGTGATATATTGTCAGCTGGGAAACCCCTTATCTTCTAACTCCCCACTCTACCGGTTGGTTACTTATGTGGGTAAAAGCAAATATGTAGCAAAGATTTTGATTGTTTGGTCCAGTGAGAAGAGACCTGCAAGTAGAAACAGGTAATGTTATAGTCTTATTATCAGCAATCTATTATAATGATTCAAAGATCACAACATATTACCAAACCATTACAAAAACTTGAACACTGTTGTTCAAAATGAGCTTGAAAATACTGATTGTGTTTCCAATGAAAACTATCCTCCTAAATAACCATTATTTAGTGTTTCTGTTTGGAAAAAAACATGAAAACACAATTAAAATCGCACCATTGAGATCACCTCATAATATTTATCATTTTTGATAAATTGGTGAGTAGACTTTGAAAATGTACAAATAAGTGTGATATAGCATGTCTGCCTGGTACCTACAATAACTGAGTGAAAAGACCAGGTGCTAACAGATCTTAGGGAGGCACTAAAATGAATCCAGTTCATTGTATGATGATGTTTAACTTTTTATTATTGTCACTTGTCACACCTTCCTGAAGATGCACCCACCATTTCTTATTAGAAAGAACATTCCTTAAGTGAATACATTTCTACTAATATAATAATCACAGGGAAGTTTTTGATGTGTTCAAGAATACATAGAAAATGTTCTGTTCTTGTAGCCATCTTAACAACATCCTAGCAATCAGAATTTTGGGTTCAGTTAGCAATGCAATGACTTTGTGATTGACCTGAAGTATTTGATCAAGATCTGTCCACTTGTTTGTGATAATACTTGGTGTTATTCGGGCTGAACAGACAGCTGTGTCTAATTCCTATTACATATATTATACAGGGTGTCCCAGGACAACGTACCATAAATTCTACAGGGTGAATTCTATACCAAAATAGGCTCTAACTGCTTTAACATTCATAGAAGAACATATATCAATTTAATCAATATACAGGGAGAAAATGCAAAATGGATGGCAATTGGTACATTAGTTAGGTCGGTATGCGGGGCACAGCCACAGAACTTTTAAGTTCTGTGGGCACAGCACACTATAAGACTGGTACCTGCCGTACCATTGTATGACGTGTGTACGCGAGAATTTTAACTTTATCCGGGCGATACGTCGAGAGACAAGAAGTCACCGATCGGAAAGCCGACTAAAGTAAACCGGCGTTTGACGATAGGATAGGCAGGTGTCCTTGGTCCTTAATTAGTTCGTGATTTTCGGTGTATATAGTGGCATAACAGTAGCTTAATAAACAATGAATATCGAAAATAGTTTCGAAAAATTATTTTATTCTTCAAATATTTCAGCTTCTTTCCTCACATTTTCTGGTACGACCTGCCGTCCCTGACGAGCCGTCACTGCTTTGCATGTTGATGTTCAAGTATAGTTTATGCAAAGTCAGTTGGAAAAACACATCACCGCAAGCCGTCGTTCCCTTTGAAAGTTCAAAGAGTGCCGCAGCGCGGCCCGATATTCGTATGATGATCTGTTGAACTGACTTTGCATAAACTTTAGGTACAAGCGTCTAGCTAGACCATGAAAAAGAAAAGTACTTTCAACCTAACTTCTCCTAAATGAACCTTTTCCTGAAGAGTATATTTTTGAAAAAATAATTGAGTGAAAAAAATTTTACAAAAAATTGATGCCTCGCCGGGATTGAACCCCAGTCACCAACGTGGAAGTCAGATACACTGACCACTGAGATATCGCCTTACTCATAGTAGGTGCGTTTTGTTGTGCCATTCCGGAAGTGATAGAATGAGTGGGCCCAAGAAAACGGATCGGCGCCAGACAATGCGAACATTTGGAACTGTAGAAACATTTGATATTTTCAACCTCAAAATCTGATCATATTATATTTGTCCTCGTATTTGTCTCTGGTATGTAACAATTTTCCCATCACCATCATTCTGATTTTGCTCCCATGAATCAAAAATATACTAATTTAATATCCATGATTCTCAACCAACCAACGTTTGAGAATAATGATTGAATTTTTGGAAGACATCAATGCCTTAGACCTTAGATGGAGGAATTCCCGTTTTTCTGTGGTTCTCTTCAATTTCTATTGATTATTATTAGCTTGTATGCGATAAATGCTGACAATTATTCTTATGTCACAATAATAATCACAAGTCACTTTTATTTGTCATTCCAATTTTCAATCCTTCTCATGAGAAGGAATGGGAATGGAAATGGGTTTGAATGCAAAACGTGTACAACGCCAAGAACCAGATTGAATTATGGCACAACAAAATGCACCTAGTATTCATAGTTTCTCAATATGAAGAAGAAACAAATATCATGTGTTGTGGGTGACGTCACTTGACCTCGATGTTTGAAAGATTCGCTGGTTTAGCTAGACGCTCGTCAAGTAGGTCTTCAAGGGCACAAACATTTTCAGATGGCCAGGCTTGCCTCTACAAGTTCCCCTTCACATCATCCAGGCGAGCGCCAACTCCAACATAGGCAACGAACAGGCCAAGTCCAGCATCTCCCAAAGATTCTACACCCACAAGGAAATCGAAACTGAAGCGATATTATCCTTGGACGAGGACACGATATTGACCACGGACGAGATCGACTTCGCGTTCACCGTATGGAAGCAATTCCCCGACAGGATAGTAGGCTACCCCGGCCGGTCGCATTACTGGGACGACTCCAAGTCCACTTGGGGGTACACTTCGAAGTGGACCAACGATTACTCCATCGTGCTGACGGGAGCCGCGTTCTACCACCGGTACTACAATTACCTTTACACCGAGTGGCTGAGTCCGTTGTTGCACAAAACCGTGGAGCAGAGCCAGAATTGCGAGGACATTTTGATGAACTTTCTGGTGAGCCATGTGACGCGCAGGCCGCCAATCAAAGTCACCCAGAGGAAGCAGTACAAGGAACAGCCTAGCGCCGGTAGTTGGTCGCCTTGGAACGATCCTGATCACTTTATCCAGAGACAGACGTGCTTGAATACGTTTGCAGCTGTTTTTGGTTATATGCCTCTATTGAGGTCGAATTTGAGGTTGGATCCTGTCCTGTTCAAGGACCCTGTTTCCAACAAAAGGAAAAAGTATCGGAGGATCGAACTGGTGGGCAGTTAGTATACAGTTTATTCCATAGATTTTTAAGTGTATGTATATTGTATCTCAAAATTTCATGTGTACTGGGTTATTTACTTTATTTTTACTCCTTCAATCGTCTGCCAAAAGAGATATAAGAAAAGTTGAATACTACTAAAAAACTATTTTTTGTATAGATCGCCTGATATTTTTTCCAGTTGAAACCATGAGAATTTTCACAGTTCCTTTTTTTTTCTCCATCACGTTTTTTTTTTCTTCTCTTGTGTAGTCAGAAGAATGACCGACCTATCAACTCTTATTTGAGAATAAGATGAGAAATATCTCAAAAACACATGTATCATTGACCTCCACATCTTCATATCTTTTATATTTGTAGCTCTCTTGAAGAAATAATTACGGGGGTGGTCGAAATATAGTGAATTACCCCGTTCATTTTGAGAAATCCAATAACCCTCATATCAACATTGAAGAGTGTTATGAGGGTACTGCAATTTGATTGAAACATAATCATTTTATAAGGGTGTGATTGTGGAAGAGAATGCAAATGCTGTTTTACACTGAAGTATTTACCAAGGGCAGCACTTTCTCATGTAGGGTGAGCACTAATATGTATACAATATACAGGGTCTCGGAGATTTGCACAATATGACATGGACTTCTGATACCAAAATATTAGATTTTATTGGATATTCAATGCCTACCCTTCAGAATTATCAAGATATCACATGTTTTTACTTCATGAAGGAAATTGTAGTTTCAGGTTTAATTAAATTTTCTCATTTGGGTCCCAGGAATCCATACCATTTTGTGCAGGAATTTTTTAATAAGAATTATTGTCGATTAACGGTTCATTGGCAATAAAAATGCCTATGCTTCTGTTCAATATTGTCCATGTTAGTAGCTACTGTAGCCTTATCAATGTATCCCAATATATTATACTGAATAGATGCTCACCCTATTTATAGGCCAAGCAGCACAAATTAATGTAATTTCAGAAAATTTGAAATTAGGTACAAACATATCTATGAAGACTTATGATCTGGATTTTTTTAATCTGGCTGAATCCATTAATTATTCAGTTTGTGCTTCTATGGCAAAGAATTTCAATATAAGGAAGCAATACATGACAAATTTTGAATGTGGAAGGATTGTAAATATTTTTCATGACCTGTAAAAGCAAATCAGCAAAAATTTCAGAAACTGTATATAGGCGATGATAAAACAGTGTTTGCCATGTAATTCTTCAAATACTGCAAATAATATAGCTATAATAGCTACAACATAATTTTATACTGAATAATTATTTTTTAACCTGTAGCTATTTACTTACAGGATGTCAAGCTAACGTTTTTGTAGTTCATTCTCTGAAATGGTAAGTTTGAAACTAGAATAATTTCGTTATTTCAGCAAGAAATATTATCAGAGTAATATTCAACCAATAATTCATTTCAATTCTACACCAATTGTTTGATTTTTTGTCAGAATCTTCATTCAATCTTGAGTTGCCGTTTATAGAGTATCAGCTACAAGGATCTTAGTTTATATGTTACAGTAAAAAATCAATCATTATATTCACACACTCACCACCCACTATCGTGAGTAAGTAGGGTGGTCTAGGATTTTGGAGCAGTACATCAATTCAAGAAAACAACGTTTCAACAGTATACATTACATCAAAAAATATTTTGATTCAGCCCTATCGCGACTCAACAAGAGGGGTGGTTTTCTTTAAAAACAAAAATATTCTTTTTCTATCAATCGTCGCAGCAATAAGCAGGACCCCCTGTATACAATTAACAGTGTTTTTATGATTATTCATGAATGTATTTACTTACTGGCAAATATATGCTCTGGGTATCCCAAACCTGTCCAGACTGTGAGAATGATGGAGCAGATATTTTTGAGTTATCGCCCGACATTGGGAAGTTGATAGAATTGGTCCAAAGAAAAGGGATAATTTGAAACCAAATTAGGAGTAGTTCCTAGAGCGGTTGTTTTACACAATATTGATTTGTACTCATTCAAAGAGTTGTTTGTTCCTTTAATAGCCAGTTTTTGTACGTGGATAATAACTCAAATATGTTCTAGCTTTTACTGTAACATATCAAAAACATTTAATGATTTGTAACACACAATTTTCTCATTTATTATAAAAATTGTGATATGCATGATTTGCTCATTCAAATATTTATGAATGAGCTAATTTTGTAATGATAGTCATCAATTTTAATCAATTTTATGTAATGATTCATTTTTTATTGTCAAATATATATTTATATTTTGTTATAGTTCATATATTCCAATTATTTTTTCATTGTTAATTTGTGTTAATCAACATATTTTGTCATTATGATAAAGTTTTATACCTATACATTTTTATTGGATAACATTTTATTACAAAATTGAATAAATCGTTTTATAATGAATAGTAGTTTTTGTAAAACATGTTCCATCGAATCATAATCTGCCTGGTCAGTGGTCACTCAGGTTTGTCAAAAATTTAGATTCGTGTATGAGGGGAGCAGAAATGAGAAAGGGTATTGTTGTCTATCAAAAATGCAAACGAAATCCGTCTTCGAAAAGGCAAAAATCTTGGTCCATGTATCAGAAGAGCAGAAATTAGGATATTTATAATTGTCTATCGGAAATGCAAAACGTCATTTCAAAAAGGCAAAAATCTCGAATAGTGTATATTAGGAAAGCAGATACGAGAGTTGACAATTGAAAATGCAAAATCCGATGTCAATAAGAGAAAAATCTAAATTCGTGTATCAGGAGAGCAGAAATGAGAAGAGGTATTGAATTGTCTATTTAAAATGCCGATTTCGAGTGCAAACATCTAAATGCATGTATCAGGAGACCAGAAATGAGAAGAAGTCGTAATAATTGTCTATCGAAAATGCAAAATACAATTTCGAACGGGCAAAAATCTAAATTTATGTATAAAGAGCGCAGAAAGGAGAAGTATTGAGTTGTCTTTCGAAGATTCAAAATCCGATTTCGAGCAGGCGAGGATCAATTCATGTATCAGGAGCGCAGAAGTGAGAAGAGGTATTGATGAATTGTTTATCAAAAATGCAAATTCGGGTTTCGAATATGCAAAAGTCGAGATTCGTGTATCAGGAGAGCAGAAATGGAAAGAGGTATTGAGTTGTCTATCGAAAATGCAATATCCGATTTCGAGCGGGCAAAAATCTCGTTTTGAATATCAGGAGAGCAGAAATGAAAACAGGCATTGAATCGTCTATCAAAAATGCGGAATTCGATTTCGAGCAGGCGAAAATCTGAATTTATGTATCAGGAGTGCAGAAATGAGAAGAGGTATTGAGTTGCCTATCGAAAATGCAAAATCCGATTTCGAGCGGGCAAAAATCTCGATTCGAGTATCAGGAGAGCAGAAATGAAAACAGACATTGAATCGTCTATCAAAAATGCGAAATCCGATTTAGAGAAGACAAATATCTGAATTATTCATGTATCAGGAGTACAGCAATGAGAAGAGATATTGAGTTGTCTATCGAAAATGCAAAATCCGATTCCGAGCGGGCAAAAACCTCGATTCGAGTATCAGGAGAGCAGAAATGAAAACAGGTATTGAATCGTCTATTAAAAATGCGAAGTCCGATTTCGCGATCGAGCAGGCGAAAATCTAGATTCATGTATAAGGAGTGCAGAAATGATAAGAGGTATTGGGTTGTCTATCGAAAATGCAAAATCCGATTTCGAGCGGGTAAAAATTTCGATTCGAGTATCAGGAGTGCAGAATGAAAACAGGTATTGAATCGTCTATCAAAAATGCAAAATCCGATTTCGAGCAGGCAAAAATCTGAATTCATGTATCAGGAGTGCAGAAATGATAAGAGGTATTGGGTTGTCTATCGAAAATGCAAATTCCTATTCCGAGCGGGCAAAAACCTCGATTCGAGTATCAGGAGAGCAAAAATGAAAACAGATATTGAATCGTCTATCAAAAATGCAAAATCCGATTTCGAGCAGGCAAAAATTTGAATTTATGTATCAGGAGTGCAGAAATGATAAGAGGTATTGGGTTGTCTATCGAAAATGCAAAATCCGATTTCGAGCGGGTAAAAATTTCGATTCGAGTATCAGGAGTGCAGAAATGAAAACAGATATTGAATCGTCTATCAAAAATGCAAAATCCGATTTCGAGCAGGCAAAAATCTGAATTCATGTATCAGGAGTGCAGAAATGATAAGAGAGGTATTGGGTTGTCTATCGAAAATGCAAATTCCTATTCCGAGCGGGCAAAAACCTCGATTCGAGTATCAGGAGAGCAAAAATGAAAACAGATATTGAATCGTCTATCAAAAATGCAAAATCCGATTTCGAGCAGGCAAAAATCTGAATTTATGTATCAGGAGTGCAGAAATGAGAAGAGGTATTGAGTTGTCTATCGAAAATGCAAAATCCGATTCCGAGCGGGCAAAAATCTCAATTCGAGTATCAGGAGAGCAGAAATGGAAACGGGTATTGAATCGTCTATGAAAAATGCCAAATCCGATTTCGAGCAGGCAAAAATCTGAATTCATGTATCAGGAGTGCAGAAATGAGAAGAGGTATTGAGTTGTCTATCGAAAATGCAAAATCCGATTCCGAGCGGGCAAAAATCTCGATTCGAGTATCAGGAGAGCATAAATGGAAACGGGTATTGAATCGTCTATAAAAAATGCCAAATCCGATTTCGAGCAGGCGAAAATCTGAATTCATGTATCAGGAGTGCAGAAATGAGAACAGGTATTGAGATGTTTATCGAAAATGCAAATTCGAGTTTCAAACAGGATAAAGTCGAGATTCGTGTATATAAGGAGAGCAGAAACGAGCAGAGGTATTGAGAATTGTCTGAGAAAATGCGAAATCCGATTTCGAGCAGGCAAACATCTAAATTCATTTATCAGGACAGCAGAAATGCAAAAGGGTATTGCGAGTTCTCTATGGAAAGAGCAAAATCCGAATCCAAAGGCGACAAAAATCTCGATTCGAGTATCAGGAGGGCAGAAATTAAGTGGTATTGAAAATACGAAATCCGATTTCAAAAAGGTAAAAATCTAGGCTCGTGTATCAGGAGAGCAGCAATCAGAAGGGTATTTAATTGTCAATCAAAAATGCAAAATCCGATTTCAAAGAAGCTAAATCTAGACTTGTGTTTCAGGAGGGCAGAAATAAGAATATGAAATGATACCATATTCATCAAAGGAACCAAGTTACAACAAGAAAAAAAAAAACGAATAACTTCTGTGAAAAGTGTAATTGGAAAGAAAATATAAAGATCTTAATATAAATGAAAAGATATAATGAAACCTTTAGCAATATAAACGGTTGTTTTTACAAATATTACAAAGTCCTAATAATTATAAATCCAAATATCCTCAACAGTATGAACAGTCAAATAATAAGAGCAGCATGTGTGTTAAAAATATCTTGATAACTAAAGTTATCTTATGAGACAATTGAATTTCCAAGGCTCAAAATAATTAGTACATATTTGTATCTCATGATAACTATTTTTAAGGGAGTTAAACATTTTTTTCAAATTTCAAAACTGCAATATGAATGAACAGTAGATTTGCTCTTCAGATTTTCAGTCAAGAAAGTCCCCTACTATAAAGAAAATTTCATATCAACTCATCCAACCATCTGGAAACTCTCAAGGTCCAAGAGAGTTTATAAAATGTAAATTTTCACGTTTATAAAAATAGGTACTAAGTATATGTAGGTACTTATTTCAATAATGGCAAAAAAGTAGTGACACAAGGTGAATAAAAATCTATACAACCTGTAAGGTTCCTCAAGAGGATAAGAAACATACAAAAGAAATTTATGAGATGATGTCCACAAATTAGGATAGCGAATACCCTGAAGATCAACTCCAAATAAAATACACAAACATATACCAATGCTAAATTATAGTAGGCCTCATTATGCCTGAAATATTTCACTCTACCTATCTATATTTATAATGAACAATCTAAAAAAGTGAAACCTAACAGTAATCCAACATCAGTATATTCATTACATACACATAAAAAATAAAGGAGCAAGACATTTAACTTGTAAGAAGAGCGACATTGATTTCTTTCACCATCTTCACTCGATGAAGCATCTTCTCCAGGGCTTCTTTTGGTAAAGGCATGGTGGAATACCAAACAGGACTGTCGGGTACACAAGAACGTTCTGGTTGCAAGTAGAAAACATCATTTCTTGTCTTCACACTCTCAGGACTGAAAATAAATTCAAGTCTTTAGGGTGGTTGGAAGAAGAAGATAAAGACAACAAAATAATCAGATCAGCTTAATTTCCCCATTTTACAGTGACACAAAAAGTGGCTTTTTACTGTACATATGATACAATCAGAGATGTATAGAAATTTAACTGGTGCGCTTGCTCCCTATTGAAAGAGATGTATAGAAATTTAACTGGTGCGCTTGCTCCCTATTGAAGGTCGTTTGCAAGTTTCTCGATGGCGCCTACTCTGATAAACCTTTGATAAACATACTTGACGTGGGTAAATCTCGCTAAGCTCATCCTGGTTACAATCCATATTTACAGGAAACATATAACCGACCGATAAATATTTGGATACGTATATGATTTGGATCAGAGCAGAGAACTGATTCCTGATCAAAGGATCGAAACGTCAATATGTCAAAAATATTCTTGAGCTGAAAAAATGGTTATTTCTGAGATTGGGATCAAGTGTTCGTTAGGGACGTGTTCCGTAGTTTCTGAATTTTGTGTATAATACCTAATCCACCATAGAAAAAAGAAAATCTCTGTTCTACAACAGTATTATTTCAGTGATTTGAAATATTAGCGTAAACTGGTGTGAATAAATTCTAAGGTGAGTACCAGTTACCATATCTGCCTATTATGATTCATTCTTGATACTGGTTCTTCAGAGAGGAAATTTATCAGATTTTATGCTTTAAATAGGTTCATGTCATGAAAGAAGTGAAGCTTATTAAAATCGGCTACAAAAAAGATTTCTTGCTTCTATTTCAAATTGAAATTTGAAAGAAAATGTTGAGCACAGTATTTATTCGACCAACGAACAACGATGGAAATAATAGATTCATCCCTCACAGAACCAAGGTTTTGAACGATTTTCCGATTATGGCGCCTCTATCGCAAATACCTGATCTCCACGTCCAAAACTCGCTTGCAATTGTTCCATATCGAGAGTTAGTCTGACGAAACAATTAAAGAGTGAGCCCACCAGTTAAATTTCTATACATCTCTTTACAATCTATGGAGTGGAATGATAATCTTCCTTCTTTTCACTAAATATGGATAAATCACGAGAAAATCATATTTCTAGTTGAGTCAAATAGTAGAAAAAAATGTGTCGTACATTGGGATTATATATAAATTGTTCAATGATGAAAAAAGAAGGGCAAATTGTTCTAAATGCGATCCAGAAATCAGGCGGAAAAGAAGGTGAAATTTGAAATTTTATAGTGAAATATCTTAATAAATAATGGTTTGTTCACATTTTCATTATCAAATTCGTGTTTTTCAGAGAAAAATACGTAAGTACCAAAAAAAATTCTTAAAAAAAAACCATCGCATGATAAATGCAGTTTTACCCATCGTTGAATTCAAGATTAACTCACCATTTGGACAAATAAAATTCGTACAGCTTAACAGGACACCTCAGCGGATTTTCCTCATTCTCTTGCTGCTCATAAACTTTCTTTTTCCTGGAATTATTCTCTGAAACAAATCATCAGAAAGTCAAACAATCCATGCTATCATCCATGATCTACTCACGTATTGCACTTTGGGGTGGATAGAACCTCAACAAAACGTTCCTAGATCCGAGCACCTTGGATGCTCCAGCTTGGTTGGGGTTGCGTTTCCAGTGTTTCATGATATGCGAAAACGACAGCTGCATATGCTCATCAACACACTGAAAACCAGTCAGATAAAAAAAAACTTTTAGCATGTCGACAATGAGGAAGTTTCATAGAATTATTATTCAACTACCTAGTATTAGGTATCTGATGTCTAGATGTCAAAATACAGCAATTTAGAAGTATTAATGGAGCATGAAATGATGGAAGTAAGATGTGGTGCGCGCATTCGGCCATTATTACGTATTGAAAATTTCAGAAAAATCACTGATCGCGTACTATGATTTCTCTACATCACAACGAGCAAGACGTTGATTCTACATTTTCCCGCTAGATGGTGATGCTGCTTTAGCTGCTGTGACGAGGAGCATATGTAACAGTGGGATTATTCAACTCTCAATTGGAAAAATCTGCGACAATTTCAAAACTGACAAATGTTATAATTGTGCAATGTCGCCATCTATTAGAAGATCGACGGAACCATTGCTCTCGCTGTTCTCGAGAGGTCGAGTAAAATATCTGAAACAAAAGCGCATCAGTAATTACTCCATGTCTTACTTCCATCATTGAGCAGACTATGCCATACTACCTAGATCTAGTTTCTTTGCTTATATCCTTCACGCCTACGTACCCAGAAATAAGAATAAGAAGAAAGCTGTCAGTATGGTTTAACCTTAAACCATCAACAAAAATGAAAACAAAATACATCTCAGTATGGTTTACAACCGCTGTTGCCAGCCTTATATTATAAAGAGGAAAGATTTGATTGTTTGTTTGTATTGAATAGGTTCCGAAACTACTGGTCAGATTTGAAAAATGCTTTTACCATTAGAAGCCGACATTATCCCTGATGAACATAGGCTACTTTTTACCGCGGGAAATTGGTTTATTCCTACGGGAAAACGGGTAATAGGACAATGACTAATAAGAATTATCCTGCAATACTTATCTTTTTCACATAACTTTTAAACAGCTGAAGTGATTGGGTTGAAATTTTATTTGGGTATTTTGATGGTTGCTTGGATGATTTAAAAATACAGTTGGACGAGGTAGGTGGCGTTGCTGTCGGTACGTCAACTACTAAACGGCATACAAAATATACTGAGAGAACGAAAATAGGTTTAAGTATATAATAGTAGCCATAGGTAAGATAAAAAAATTGAAAAAAATAACGAAAAAATATGTTCTATAGATAATCATTAGATATATGATAAATCTGTAATTCTGTACTGGCGTAACGGTTCGCATTTTCAGCTGTGCTGTGCGTTCATGGCTATTCTAAAGGTGCGTTCGGTTATAACATATCTGTTAGCTCGATTCCATCTGTTAGCTCGGAAAGCGTTCGATAAATCAGATCTACTTCCTCTGTCTAATCTGCTCTGTTTTCGTTAATTGTCAGAGCGAGCTGAAAGATGTAATCTGTTTGCTCCGCCTTGAGGAGCAGATCATTCAGATTTGATCGGTTATTCGGTTGTCAGTTGTCAACAAATCAATGTCAACAACATGTTATCGAAATTATGAATCTCTTTTGTGTCGAAAAATTAAAGACTCGGTCAACTGGAAACGAAACTGAATTTTGTAGAATCCTCCTTGCCCAGAATCGCCAGAATGACCGACGAATTTGCTGTAGGTAGCGTAGCATATTAATTATATATCTGTAATATATGCGATCACAACTGCCCTGGATCCACAGTTAATGACCGATCATATGAGACAGAATCATTCCTTCCCTAGTAATTTTCAAAATATAAACAACAAACATTCAAAAGAACTTTGTTGCCCTGAAATGTTTTTAAAAGTAACAAGGTTAAGTGAATTGTTTCTGTTTTCTGTTACTTCTGACAGCTGGCGCACGCAACCTACTACCTCGTTGAGCGTTCGTCAAAATATCTTTAGCTCTATTTGCTAGGTGATCACGTGACACCAAATCTGCATCTGCTCGCTCGGCTCCGATTTTGTTAAACCGAACGAACCTTAATTGGTACGTCATGAAAATGGTGGAGGAGCCGAAACTATATGAAAAAATAAAAATATGTTTTCAATGAAACTGTACAGAAAAATTAAAATTTGAATGGTGGAAATTTGCTCGTCGCACTCACCGTCAAATTGAAATGCTTCGTGTTGAAAAACATCAAGGTACTGAGCAGGACGTGCGGAGAATGCGCTCCCAACTGCTTGCTCTCCCACAAATGTTCCTCCTCGACCCTGGTAACAATATAGTGAGAATCGTTGTAGAGAACAGAGAACTTCTTGGCCACCTCGTCCAAGCAATCGGTGAACTTCTCGTAGTAGGGATCACAGAAGATGTTGTCGATACGGCCGTTCTCGAACAAGTACTGCTGGATGCCCAAGCAGAGATAGTAGATGGTGTCCGGCGCGTATTCGGCGCCGTTCGGCTTCCTGACTTCCTTCACGAACAGACACAGCGAATAGTTCAGCTCGTCCGAGGTGAGCTGCAGAATTTCCGTCTTGAAGAGCTTCACTCGCCGGGAAGACTTTTCCAGTTCGGTATTCTTGGTTGTTACCCATTGTTTCCAAGCGTTCACACCGAAAGTATACTGTGAATAATATCGACAATCATTTTCAATGATCGGCAAAAATAGACAGCTGAAAGAAAGCTATGCAATGCTTCAATTCAATGGGAGAATGAAGGAACTGCATACAATTTTTTTTTCCGTCACACAAAAAAAGAATAGAATCACTGACTCAATTCATATGAATAAATTCCTGCTGACAATGATGGAACTAAGTAGATGGTGCGCGTACTCTGCCATTTTTACGTGTTGATAACTTGAGAAAAATCACTCGACCGCTTACTATGATTTCTCTACGTCACATCGAGCGAGAAGTTACATCTACTTCTTCCGCTAGATGGTGATGCTGCTATTGCTGCTGTGACGAGTGAATATAAAATGGCAAATGACATTTTAGGTACGTGGAACCTATGCAAAAGTGGTTTTATTTCACTCGGAATTCGGAAAATCTAAACTTACCCGAAACATCACCACACTACGCCAACACCATAACATACGCAAAAAACACGGGCTGATATATTATGCATCAACCAATGTGTTCAGAGAACCTGATAATCTATAGTTGGGAATCTCCCCAGATTCTTGGACATACCCGAGACACCGGGGGGGATCTAGACAGGACTACCTCCCGATCAGGAAAATAAAAGTGCCGTGGCAGTACAACTGCCCAAGCAAAACAAGACGGTTTTTATGGTTTTTCAATTTTTTTTTCTCCAAAAACGTGAGACTCTCCCCACACTGACCGAGTCTGAACAGCTCCCCCACTGTCTCACATTCCCTGGCCAACACCAGCCACCTCTGCGCCAAGCGGAGGGAAGCCCAGGCAGCGATTTTACTAAATATCCTGCACGCTAGCACAAACCACGCCCACCGTAATACGTCAAATATACTGTGCTCCAACGCGATAATTCACTTCTTATGATTTTGACACGAATTCGACTGAAGCTCTCTCGTTGTCAATCTCTTGTATGCAGTAAATTTATATACCCAAACGGTCCACTGGTTAGCGCTGTCAGACTTTCAGTCTGAAGGTCCATGGTTCGAATCGCTGTGAAACTTGAACTTTTTTTTTTCACCAAAGTTTTTGTACTTCATTCTGGTCTTCCTTCAGAAAATATTTGGAGTCCAATAGGTTAGTGCGTTTAGGATAAACAGTCTCATTTTATTCAATTTTGTTGAAGAACTCAACTTTTGAAATATATTATTAATCAAAGTGTTTTTACACTCCATTCTGGTTTTCCTTCCTCAAAAATATTGCAATTAGGAATAGGTTAGTTCGTTAAGGATAAATAGTTCTCTGAGTTTTGCCTAAGTACTTTGAAGATGAGATATTACGATGGGCGTGGTTTGTGCTAGCGTACAGTATATTTAGTAAAATCGTGACCAGGCACACCTGCAGATATGTCAATACCTTTTTTAAATAAATGTGTTTAATATATGTGCTGTACAAAAAACGACCAGATAATAAATGATTTTAATAAGGTAATCTAAAGGTCCTCGGATCGATCCCCGGTAGGAGCGCATTTTTTTCAAGTTTTTATTCAGAATACGATCTCTTCTACTCTGTCTAGATCTCTTTTTCAACTATCTGAGTAAAAAAAGGCGAATTTACGTTGATTCAGGTATTCATGGTCCTGAATGAACATACTGGGCATGTACAAATGCGTGGAATCTGGACGTCCCCAGTGCGTATGAAACTCCGGACGTTCTCAGTACGTTTTGGGGACGTACTGGTGCTACATGGGAAGTACACCATCTACTTATTTCCATCATTCTGCCACCCTGCCTGTCCAGCATCCTGCCCCCCTCACCTTGAGACACATATTCGCGTCGGGCTTCTCTGTCGGCTCAGGCGGCGGCTGCGCCTGCTGCGCCTGATGGTGCTGCATCATCGGCAGGTCGACCTGCTGATGGGACATGCGCCTGCCGCGTTTCGCGCCGCCGCGCGGCTGCCGCAGCCCGCGCTTCCTGCCGCGCACCGACGGGCTCCTGCTGTCGAGCATCTGGTGCGGGTGCATCGGCTGCGGGTCGTCGACGGTCTCGTCCTGCTGCGAATGCGGCTCGCCCCCCTGGGCGGCTGTAGATCGTTCAATCAGACAATCAATCATATTAACAGCCAAACAATCATTCAAACAATCAATCTATGAATCAATGAGCTATAGTAATAATAATAATAAATTGTATTTATTGCCATTAAGAGAACAAACATGAATACAATAACAAACATTTCCAAATAAATACTAGGTTATGCTCCAGTAAGTAAACTTGTGCGGAGCTGAACAAATTGAAAATCATTAAATAAATAATTAGTTGAATATTCATCATAGCTAACTTGATACACAATACCTATTAATAATAACTATAACGATAATAATGATAAAATATTAAAAATAACAATAATCATAAATTCAATATTGCTTTATAAATAAATATACAGGGATACTAGTAATTCGATACATTCCTTTGGAGATGTGATAGGGAGGGTGCTAAGGAGTAAATTGAACCCAAATATGCATCATGCAAAAGTTAATAGTTTTCGAGATATTTAATTTTTTTTGTTTTTCTCCAAAAGGTAGAATTCAAGGGTTTGAAATTTAGTTTCCCGAAAATCTGCTCTACATTTTTTCGAACTTTCAACTAGAATACATGATCAACATTCTGGTCTTATGTTTGGAATAACAAAATTACAGAAATAATTCAGATCAGAGATAAATTGTAGATAAAAAGTCCTAGCGGTTATTTTTAGAAAAATCTCTAAGCCACATTTGTCAAAAATTGGTTGGAACTTCCTTAAGCCAATAGCTATCTAACTGGGTACAAATAAAACTTAAATTGATTGAAACGGATTTGTCAATTCAAAGGAATAGTTTAAAACCCACTTGAAAAAAACTTGTCAGTATTTATTTTCGGCAGTTTTTATTTTCGTTTCGTGACGAAGTACTTCTGTATCTCAATCATCATTTCTTCATCATCGCTTGTATCCGAAGTATCTATGATATCGGAAATTATTGTAATTATAGTGATAAACTTCAATGAGACATTCAAAATTAATCAAATTTCAAATATTTTCCCACTCGTGACTTGAATATTTCGGTGAACAAAAGTTCCACGCAAAACGCACTCACTGCCGAAAAAGTTCGAACCATGGTGGAATTATAGTATGGTGTGCTACGACGCATCTTCGTATACGTCACTGCGAGTAAAACAATTGCTCACAGTCTGAGCTCTCAGTTATCGGTTCGCCCGAGTCGCCGTAATCATTTTGGTGCGAGTATAGACTCGCAATGACGTTATGCGCAAAAAAGACGAATTCAAGCTACGTGAGTAGCACGCCATATAATATTTCCACCATGGTTCGAACTAGTGCGACGAGTGGAAAACGCTATAACATTATTGACCAGTTCGACATCATTCTACTCCGTCATAAACAACTCAATAAAGCATAAAATGGGCATGACCCTAGCTTCTCAGGTAAGGCACTAGCCGTTCGATATCTATCCAGGACCAGGACCTCCGCTCTATCACTGGAGAATAAGGTCCTTGTATACAAACAAATAATCAGGCCTGTAATGACATACCCGTGTCCGGTGTACTGCAGCATCCCGCCTACTCATATGAATAGGTTACAGGTGCTGCAGAACAAAGTACACCGTATTATCACCAACGGTGATAGATACTCTCGAGTGGCAGATCTCCACGAGAGATGTGGTAATTTGCCAAGAATCAGTGAGTACATCCTGAAAATATCAAATAGATTCTACAAATACCACATCGCTGGAAGTGACCTTACCCGGAATATCACCACAGTCAGAGAACACCATAATATACGCAAAAAGCATGGGCTGATATACGCAACAACCGATGTTTTTAGGGAACCTGAGAATCCTATAGTCGGGAATCTTCCCGGACTCTCGGACACGTCCGAGACGCTGGGAAGGATCTAGACAACACTATCTCTCAAACAAGAAAATAAAATAGTGCCACTGCTTACGAGCAAACACGGCACTAAACTCGGACAGATGTACAAACATGGAAACGTGGAGGTCCAGCTGTCCAAGCCTAACTAGAAGGAGGTTTTTTGTTTTTTCATTTTATTTTTCCTCCAAAAACCGGAAACACTCCCTGCACTGATCACGTATGAGCAACTCCCCCGCCCCACTGGGTACCCACAGTGAGATTACCTTTATAAAGGGCCTAGCCCTAGGAGATCGGTATCTGCGACGAACACTTCACAAATCCTCTCACATCCCTTGGCCAACACCAGCCACCTCTGCGTCACGCGGAGGGACATCTAGGGGCACTATATGATGCTCCAGAACAAAAATATGAAATGTGATAGAAAACGTGTGTTGTAATAGATTAGGATAATGGAAATAAACGACTTTAATACGTTCGATATCTGAAGTGAAGCAATGTCGAGCGCGGTTAGTACTTGGATGGGTGACCATTCGAGGAAATAGCAAAATAGCATATCATAGCTACCGCTACCATATCAATGAGCATAAGATATGGTACGGATATGCCGTCCTTCGGTGGGGACGTTAAGCCGGCGGTCCCGAGGTCATGGATGTTGGACTCGTTAAAGATCCCTACCTCTGGTTGGAACACCAGAGGATTCGGCAAAAATTTTCGGTAGTATGTAGCAGAACAAGGCCAACGTTAAAGAATCAAGGAAGAAGAAGAAAGCATAAAATATTCTATTACCTGTACCTGTGATCGTATTCGCAGTGAGCGCTCCCTCCAAATCCACAGCGGGCTCGTCCAACTCGGTAGCCATTTTCAGTGCCATCTGGAGCATGTCGTCGCCGAAATTGCTGGTGTCGACGGGCTCGGGGCTGTAGCTGTCCTCCGGCCCGCCTGTATCGTCCACGTCACTTTCGGAATCGGTGAGGTCCTCTTTTTTCTCTTCCGCCACCATTTCGGCCATCATCAGTAGCTCCGCCTCGTACGGGTCCGTCGGAATTTTCACTTGGATTTTCTGAAGAGAATGCATTACCCAGACAATAGGCGAGAGCATGAAAACGTGGATTCAATTTGAATGTGCCTACGAGGTGATCTATACTCACCGGCAAAAAAAAATGGCGAGAAAAAACTGATCGCCTTGTAATGTTTTTATTGAGCCTTTCCAGTCATTTCTAGAAACATTATATCTCGAAATACATGGCTCTGGAATACCTTAAAATTTTTGTCCTCAATTCATCATATAAAAAAATATTGAAAACGCCAAAATGAATGAGCGAATTCAAACGATCAGACATGGCCGCAAAAAAATGCAAAAATTGTGGATATGGCCTTTTATTTCACAGGGAGTCGAGATGATTTGATATTTGACTACAAATTCGTATGACATGATTACTAACCGAGTAGATTGTAGGTTCGATTAGCAGCAACAAAATGCGGCCTAACCCCTAAACTATACGATCATACCGAGGTTTATACCATTTTATTGCAAAAATTCAGTGAACCTGCTGTTTGAATGAGCCCTAATTTATTTTTCCAAACAGAAACTCACCTTGATTTCTTTCATGATGCCAGCAGCCGAGTTTCTGGTAGTAGGTATAAAAATGGGAATAGGGATAGCTATCGGCACTGGGAAGGGAGCAGGTGTAGGAACACTGAACATGTGCATGGGTGTAGGTACGTAGATGGGTACTGGAACAGGAATGAGAATCTTCTTCTCTTCTCTTTCGTCTGTCTGAACTTCTTGATCGACCATAATGGGTTTCATCATAGTGGATTTGTTCATCTTCCGGGTGGAGCACATTGTTCCTACATTTCTGGAAATTAATGGATGGAATTTGTTGAAACACCAATAAAATAAATTTGATGACTTATTCGAATATAATTCAACATAACAGAAAATAAACTGACTGATTGTTACAAAATATTCAGTGGGCTAGCATTTAGTATTCTTATTCTCCACACTGATGCTTTCAATTTCATCATTTTGCAAAAATTTTCTGAATGGTTTCAAGGTCCAGAAATTTGCTACTTATAACTACTGAGGTCACGACTCAGTAATTGAAATACATAGCTGCTAGATTGCTTTCCTACTAAGTACTAAGACTGAGAAAGATATAAGACATAACCGGTATTAATTCACACCAAAGGAGATTCAGTTTAAAACGTGTGGCAACATCGCTTCGCATCTTGTACCTCGTAGTTAGACAGTGCAGAGCGCAGTTGTCAAGTAATCAACGGATGTTTATAGAATGTTTGTTCACATAGCACGTGGTTAGGTCTCGCCGACATTAGGTACTATTGTAAGGATATTTTGAATAATAATATTCACGTAGGATGATTTACGAACAACTACCGACTTGGCAACATGTTGGACGAAAAATCTTTTGTGATCTATAACAACACAGTGTAATTATTTTTGAAAGTCTGAAATTCATGACCAGTTCAGTAGCCTATTACCTTTGGTCTGGCATCGGTGCTGGTCTGACGATGAAATGTTGCTTGATTTGCACTTGGAAAGGCAGTTCCGAAAACGAGTTGATGACTTGCGGTGACGAGTTCAACACTTGGGGGGTACTAGCCGTTTTCGATCTGGTGGAACGGGTGTTTATAGGGGTGAGAGTGGGAGGTGGTAAAGGTGGAGGAGGAGTAGCAGCCAGGTTACCGTTGGTGCTCGCCAGACTCTGGACACTGGATATTATCGGTAGCTGAGCTACATCTGTCAGAGTCCCCGCTGGAATGAAAATTTGTATGGATCACTCCAGTGCTACCATCCGAAATCATACATTTTCAAGAGAGGAAATCATACATCCCCAAGAATTTTACGGACCACCCAAAAAGTTTGAAATACATTTTGCATAACATGTTATCTCCTTCTGAAAATTTTTTGTGCAAACTGTATTCATATAAAAACCTTCTTTTTTATAAATACGGGTGTAGCAATTATAGCGTGTCCCAGTAACATCATCAAGTTAAAATTGAAATTACACTTTAACATGACTTAATGGTAAATTATTATCCAAATTGGACAATGAAAAGACGAAACAGAATGCGAAGTCACGAGTTAAACAAAAGGATCAGTAGCTAGTATATCCTCCTCCCTCAGGCATGTATAACTTCTTGGCAAAGACGGCCCATACTTAAAATAAGAGAGCTATGTCATTGAGGTCCAGGTCATCCCAAATTCGAATCAGGCTCTCCCAAAGTATTCAATTCACATTTCTCAATTTATCCCAAGAATGTCCCAGAGATTCTCAATAGGATTAAAATCCGGGCTCCGAGCTGGCCATGCCATGGTAGTGATACCGGCTTCCTCTAGATAATTCCTCATAACATGGGTGACGTGAGGCTTGGCATTATCTTGCATCAACAATAGTTATTTATTATACAAGGGAAAAAAGTAGTAGATTTTAGCTCCAGGTTGTGTTGTCTCCCGACGCGTAGCGGAGGGAGACAAAAAACCGTGAGCTAAAATCTAATATTTTTCCCGTGTATAATACACTATTTTTTTCTGTGACAGAAGGAAGTACGAATCAATATTGAGAAGATATTACATTATTTCGAAATCTGAAAATTATCGACGTGAAATTTCAAGTTTTTAACAGGAGGGACACCTGCGTTTTATAGGCATCTTTATCATTCTTTTGAAGTAATCAAATATCTGATGTCACTTCTGTCAGTTCAATTCTGTGATTTGATTTTAAAAAATTGCGAATTCAGTAGTTGTTTAGTAATATACGAAACCGCGAAGTCGAATGGAAGATAAAAGGACTTGCAGTTCTTTCTCGGAGACGGTATTATTGACTCATTTTTCAGAACTTTCGCACAACAAAAGCCATCAACAGTGTATATATATGTGATATATATCCGGGAAAAAAGTACTCACTTTTTTCCCACGGGAAAAAAGTAATTTCTGAAAAGTGACATTTTATAACCTGCCAACAGAGATGAAATGCCAAACTTTTTTCCCGTCACAGAAAAAAAATCCTTATTCATAAGCAAGACACACATGAGATACCATGGACTTCTACCATAGAAAAATCTTTATGCTATATGTGGTTCTAACGTCTCCAATAATTTTCCTTTCAGCTGTAAGGCATTTAAGATCACAAGTTTCATGCGACCATTCAAAGATATGCCTCCCCAGACCATAGCCTGCTACTTACGTGCTTATAATGCCAATTGAATTCAATGAAATCATGTTATGCTACAAAATTGTGTTTGTCCAGTAATAGTAAAGATAAAAAAAAAAACATTATATAATTCATAAAAAAGAGGTTTTAATGCATATACAGTTTTTACGCCAATATTCAGAAGGAGACAACCTGTAATTCAAAATGAAAAACGTACAAATCGGACAAGTACTTTTGACGAAAATGTATCTCAAATTTTTTGATACTTTTCGGTGGTGTGTTAATTTTTTGGAGAAGTGTAGATAAGAGAACTGGGTGTAAAGTAGCCCAGCTCAAGTTATCCAAGTTATTTCAGGGTTGTAACCCTGTATACTTACACTGATCTTGTCCAGGATATGTCTTGTTTTTCTTCGGGAGCCCTGTTGGCACGGGAAAAGCCGAATCTTCGGAGCTAATAGCGATGGGTTGCTTTGGGAATTGATTCTGAAAACTCATGACGCAGTTGTAGGAGCAAAAGTTCCTTATCGTGGCATCCGACATGGTCAAATGATACATGGGGTGAGACATTTTCTGACAAAAGTTGCAGCAAGTTGGCCGGGTATTTATCGTCTCAATGGACACTCTGTAGAGGCTGAGACAGTTGACACTGCACATGTTGATCATAGGTCCGGATTTCGAGTATCTCCTTATCATGTCGAAATTGTATTTCTTGACTTTGCACCAGCTGCAAGGTACTATTTTTCGATGCGCGATTATGTAGATGTTTTCGCAGCTATTGGAACAGAAACTGTGTTGAACATTATCATAGTACATGGTGTGCTCTTCCAGAGTGCTTTTCGGGAAATGCCCGCGGCACATCGCACATTTTCCTGGTTGTATATTTTTGACGAAGCTGAAAGCAACGAAGCAAGGCTCATTGCAAAAGTAATTCGGACTTCCGTCGAATTCGAACTCGATGGTTATCGGCTTTTCCGCTAAGCAGACAGAACATGTAGTGCCTCTGGCAACTTGCGGGGGACGGTCATTCGTCATGATATCGTACTTCTCCATGCAGAGTTTCGAGCAAAAATCCTTGAACTGGCGACCAACGCGAGCTATGAAGCTTGCCGGGCCTCCAGACATATCCTGTTGACAGTACGAGCATACTTTTAGACCTTTTTTGTATTTCTCCAGGCACACGCTGGTGCAGAACTGTCGAATATCATTGCCGAATCTCACACAGTACTTGCCCAGGGAATTAGATTTCACCTCGTTCTGACAGCTAGAGCAGTGAGACCCGATTTCTTTCTGGTACTTAGTGAGACAAAATTCATTGCAGAAGTCCATTATCTCCCAAGTCAAATTATTTTCGATGTCGTTAGTGACTTTTTTACAAGATGCACACTTTCTTATGAATGAAAGAGATGGGGGCTCAACTGGGACTCCAGAAAAGTCTTTCACCCTTAGGCTGCCCTCTTCCCAATTCAACACAACTTTGCCTGCGTGAGAGGTCTTGAAAGTTGTCAAACAACTGTCACTGCAAAGATACTTGGTATCCCCTTCACTAGCCGTATAATTATATAGTACTTTCCGTCGCTGAAAATAAATAAATCTCTTCAAAAGTGACAAAAAAAATGTATATGAGTTTTGGCTTTATAACTTCTTTGTAATGAAACATGTCAATTTTTTTCATACACAGGGTCCCAGTGATTAGAATTGTTCCTATTAACATAAAAAATATCCGAAAATGGTTTGTTTAGAGATACAAAATAGAAAAAAAAAAGTTTTGGCAGGTTTTAGTGATATTGGCATGTATGAATGTATTTGATATAATCATTCCTTATTGAAAATCATAAATACCTTTTTCAATAATAATTACCATTTAAAAACGCTAACTTTATGACAAGATATGCCAATGAGCACCAATGGTGACATTTCTCAACAACCATTGAGAGCATAAACACATCGCAAGAATTCACTCCCACCATAGGGGTGTACTGATACACACAATGGTTACATAAGTCATAATAGTCATATCCGGTCATATCAAATAGTCGCATCCATGGTGGAATGGTCGCATCGGATTTTCCCGCGATTTTCATGTTATAAAATGGTTTGAACCAATGAATTCGTTTGGGATAGGATTTCAAGAAAAGAGAAATACCATTTTTCACTGTTACAGGTCCATTGTAAGTCCAAATGTGAAATTTACCTCATTTAGGTATGAACATATTATCCTTGAAATTTTTTCATGAAAAAGTATTTGGCGTAATCATATAATTCATTCAATGTTTCAATCACTAATTCCATAATTATGAAGTTTGAGTGAATTTAGTATGCGTGAGCCTTTTTTAATTTAGTTTCCAAGCCAATAAGAGTTTCAGATGAATCAATCTTTCAAGAATAAACGCAGGTTTGAAAGGAACTTAAACACACATTTTTCTATTCAAAACAAATTGGATTTTTTTTCAATAATGTGAAACATATGCAAACTCCCATGTAAAGCATTTATCTATATAAACTAAAATCCAAAATCATGTTTATGTTACATCTTTTATGACTCACGAACGGCTGGACCGATTTTTATGATATTTGATTTTTTGGATTTCTCTTGATCCGGAATGGAATAATAATTCGTCAAAATTAGGAAATTTAAGATGGCGGATCCAATATGGCGGACGAATTTTGTAATTATGATCCGGTTCTATTCAAAATTGGTATCTGGGGGTTGTAGGGGTCGGAGATTATGATTCCTTCGTCAAAATTAGAAAATACAAAATGCGGAACCAATATAGCGGACGAGTTTTGTAGTTATGATCCGGTTCTATTCAAAATTGGTATCTGGGGGTTTAAGGGGTCGGAGATTATGATTCCTTCGTCAAAATAGGGAATTCAAGGTGGCGGATCCAATATGGTGAACCAGTTCCGTGATTACCTATGATCCGATTCTATTCAGAATTGGTATCTGTATGTTTTCGGGGTGGGAGATTATTATTCCTTCATCAAAATAAGGAAATTCAAAATGGCGAACGAGTTTTGTAATTATGATCCGTTTCTATTCAAAAACTGGTGTCTGGGAGTTCTTGGGGTCGGGGCTTATGATTTTCCTTCGTCAAAATTAGGAAATTCAAGATGGCGGACGAGTTTTATATAATAATGATCCGGTTCTATTCAAAATTGGCATCTGGGGGTTTTCAGGGTAGGAAATCAAGATTCCTCTGTCAAAATCAATGAATTCAAAATGGCGGACGAGTTTTGTAATTATGATCCGATTCTATTCAAAATGTGTATCTGAGGTTTTCGGGGACGGAGATTATGATTATTTCTAATACAATGAACGAGCTTTGTAGTAAATAGAAGTTTGAAAACTTATGAAACATGCTTTTATATAGATAGCCAAACTAAAAAGAAGTAGAAAATAAATAGATTACCGAACTGCAAAGAAGTAGAAAATGAATAGTAGCTTGAAAAACATGCTTTTATAGATAGCCAAACTAAAATAAGTAGAAAATAAAATAGGTAATAATAGTATGTTGATGAATATATTCAACTAAAAAATATTTTCTATAAAAAGTATAGAGCAAAACAATGTTTGGTGGATGAGCTAGTAGCTAATATAATTGGACCTGTCTTTCACATATGAACACAAGATTTTTGTATTTTTCTAGAAATATTTTGTTGAATTGTTCAGTTTTATTCAATTTTACTTTTCACTCAGAGAAATAAATATTATTGTGTTGAGTTTCAAGGATTTGGAAGTAATCTTGTTTTATGACAGCTCAGTCAACATAAATTATTCTTTTCTTGAAATCCACAGTCCTAGCTCCAAGAAAATAATAATGCTTATACAGGTTCAAATAAGTAAATGATATTCACTTTGCATCAATAAAATTACTAGGTACTCAGGATAAGAAAAAAAAAAGCATAAATTGATACAAAACTTGTGAATGGTATCTATTTTATCAATAGGGCACTGAGGGAAAAGTTCTCTTAGAGACTTACCAATTTGCACACATTACATAACTGCAAATCTTCTTTGTCATATTTGAAAACAACACTTGGCTTGCCTATAAACAGTCCTGTTGCATTGGATTCTGAGATGCTCTCAGTTTGGGAAGAAGCACTGGCTTCAGTGAGATCTCTAAGAGGTGGAATTGATGAGGCTGCTTCACGCTCAGCCTGAAATAAAGAAAAATATCAATCACAAATCTATACTAATAATCCATTTTGGAAGATAGGTCAGCATGGTATATGGGTAATTCCATCCACAAGGAATATTTATCTTTTAGTAAAATGTTTTGAATAAATTACCTGGGATATTTCTCTTTCTGTATCAGGAATAATACACAATTCTTCATCTGCACCTTCCCTATCATCATTATTCAGGTTTTCAAATGCATCAGAAGCAATAGGATCATGTTCCATGATTCTACGTGTATTAGACTCCTCTTCTTTATCAGTTTCAGATTCCTTTTCATTATCACTATTGACTTGTACAAACTCTGTGTTCTCTCTAGCACTTTCACTTGGTTTATCTTTTTCTACATTTGAAACCATTTCCTTGGGTTTCTCTTTGTTGAGATCACAGTTCTCATCAGGATTTTTTGGTTCTGTTGTGTCCATAGGAGCATCTACCTTGTTATGCTTTTCATTGAGGGATTCTGTAGTTAAAGTGTCTTTGGAAGTTGAAGTTTCATCAGATTTATCAATGTTTCCTTCAACAGTAATATTTTCATCACATTTTTCACTAATATCTCCAGCAGTATCACTTCCATCAGAATTTTTGTTGCTTTTTTCCTGTAGTTCAGGTAATTCATCATTTTCTGGTTGTACACCTACTTCATTAATTTTATCCTCCTTTACTTTATCACCTTGTGCAAGTTCTGCTTCTACATTTGCTTCAGCATTGTCACCAACTGTTTTCCCAACTAATGCCTCTATTTCAGGAAAACTATCACTTGGTATTTCTGATAAACTTTCTGTGAAATCCACATTAGCAGGTTCACCCTCCTGTTGTACTTCCATCACAGTGTTAGTGCAATCTTCTGATGAAACTGCTATTGATTCTTCAATATCTTTTGTTCTGTCATGTAAAATATCAGAATTCTTTTCACTTACCAAAAGCTCTTTACTTGGCTCACTATCTTGTATTCTCACAGAGCCCTGTTGACTATCAGATATGTTATGAACAAGAGCAGGACTTTCTTCTGGAATGTCTTCAAGCAATGGAGAAGTAGTAGGAGCAATACTTTCAGGAGCAGTTTCATCCCAGTCCATAGTTTCCTCTACTGAATCCTCCACATGTTTTGAAACAACTTCTTCTAATGAATTTGCCTGGATAACATCATCTCCAGAAACTTCTATCAGTTTTTTCAAATCTGAATTTACAATTGGTTCTGAAATAGCTTCAAAACTCTGTGTAGTACTTGCCTCTGCTTCATTTTGGAACTGGCCAGTTTCAACAATAGCTTCAGAGTTATCAGATACACCTGGATCACATTGTATGGAATTTGCTTCTTCTGCTGTTTCAATTTCATTGGTCTCAGGTAGACCTTCACTTCCTGACTTCCCTGTATTCAAACTTATATCAATAGGAAAATCAGTTCCTGCCTGATCAACAGTATGCAACTTCTCAGTACTGAGTTCCTCCATGGTTTGTAATCAGAAAGCACTTCTTATGAAACACTACCTACTCCCAAGTAGGAGGAATTAAATTTGTCATTTTCAGATCAAATCTTCCCAGCATGAAAGATATAAATACGTATTCCTGGAATGTCTAGAACGCCTATGATATTGAAAATCCCGGCTTTTATTCAATGTTTGGTTAAACCTCTGAAACATTACTTTTTCCACACTCCTTCTGGTGCATCAGAAAATATCTCATATAATACCTTCCTGAAAAAAACGACTCCGGTATTGGACCAATCTTGTGGGATATTACAAAATATTATAAGGTGAATTATTTCACATAATCAAATTTTAAATTCTTTTAACTTTTAGCCAAGCCATATAATAATGGTGGACGACAGAAAAATAGTAATGTCACCATTGCCAACTGAAAATGAGGGAAGAAAAAACAAAACATTTTAGAAAAGGAACTGCACTGGTGCACACTCGTGCAACGTAACCATTTTTCTACACTCTGACTACACCGTCAAAAGTACACTGTACTAGATCTATATCCCTCATTCCCATTCGTGAACCTCATATATTTACTATTTCTATATATGGCGCATCGCCTATACGATATCTCAACAAAACTGGGACCAAAATAAGAGGTATTTTTTCAATCTACAGAGTGACCCATTTGAAAGCGGGCCACCCCTGTATCTCACGTAATCGTTGGGTAAGGATCATGAAATTTGCTGGAGCGAGAGATATACCAAAAATGCACTCTATGACCAAGTGGGGTCTTCTCAGTGATATACACTGCTCGCCAACAGCCATGGAACCACCCCAATTTCCAGAAAATGATATTAGGAGTCAAAATAGGTTGAAAATCACTTCGGATTCGGAATCAGGACGCCCAATTCACTAACTCTTTATATTTTTCTTTGAAAATTTTCACTTCTGAAAAATTTGATTTTGTCGCACTTTTCACGGAAGCACCCCCCGTATCTCACGTAATTGACTTCATCTTTGGACTTTCCGTTCCTCCTGCAAATTTTAGAACCCTACCACAATAATTACGTGAGATACAGGGGTGCGCTTCCATGAAAAGTGCGACAAAATGTAATATTTCAGAACTGAACATTTTCAAGGAAAAATATGAATAGTTAGTGAATTGGGCGTCCTGATTCCGAATCCGAAGTGATTTTCAACCTATTTTGACTCCTAATATCATTTTCAGGAAATTGGATTGGTTCCATGGCTGTTGGCGAGCAGTGTATATCACTGAAGATGACCCCACTTGGTTATAGAGTGCATTTTTAGTATATCTCTCGCTCCAGCAAATTTCATGATCCTTACCCAACGATTACGTGAGATACAGGGGTGGCCCGCTTTCAAATGGGTCACTCTGTATGTACGGAAAGTGAAGGATGGTGACGGATGGAAGCAGCCATATTGGTTTGACAAGATTCGTATTATTTTTTCCCTACGTCGGCATCAACGCCTATTGGTCGATTTTGTTACATGGTAAACCTGGTGGTGTACTAGTTTTGTACCAGTGCACTCACTGGCAATCTTTACACCTCCAACTCATCATCACGGCACAAGGCACAATATAGGGAATATAAATATGGTGTGAGAACTTCTTTGCTTTGCAATATGTTTATTATATGAGATTGCCACTAACAATTCACCTTTCAAACTATTCATATTCAATTCCGCCATTTTCAAAACTGCACGATCTATTAGAGTTCGTATGAGAATTGTTAAACTGCTGAGCTCTACTGAAAACCAGTTCTCCAATGGAATTTGAAACCTGCCACCAGTTTAGATGATCTAAGTATTTAGCGACCACTGCTATCTTCAGACTGCTATCATGCTGACAAATGGCACTATTGACAGTGACAGTTCTAGTGGAAATTCTGGTTTTCTTCAGAATCTTTACTTCTGTGAATTGTTTTGAAAAAAAAAATCATTGATAAATAGAATAAATACCTCAGATATCAAATAATAAAAAATGACCAGAAGGGGTCCAAAGTTCTCTTTATTATTGCACTTTGGAAAATATAATTATTGGTGAAGGTGTTGAAAGTTTTCTTTCGATAATATTTCGTTATAATTATTTGAATTCCACTTTCTGTATATATATTCATCTCGACTTGTGAAAAATCTTCAAAAAAAAAATAGTTTGAGTTACACAGCAGCCTCTCCATCTAGTCATGAACAGAAAAACCGAAAATATTCAACTATGAGAAGTTTTCACTCATAAAATCTACAATGCCCAAAAAAACGATGATTGCCAAAATTTGCCCATCCTGTAAACAACAGGTAAGACTGAATAATGTTACATGAGGTTGTTTGAAGTCATAATATTTCAGGTTCCTGTAGCCTGTAAGTCATGTCCTTGTGGTCATTTCTTTTTCAATGCAAGACGAATTGCTAGGGAATTTGCTATTGAAGCAGATTTCAGGAGAAGAACATCAAGAGTCCGAAGAGAGAAACCTAATTACTATGATGCTCTTGAATATGATAAACATATCAAGAAAGTAAGTTTGACAATAAATATTGAACCTATCTTGATCTAGATATAGTTGAGTTTTTTAATTGGTATGTTTTCAGATGAAAAAAAGGATTAGTGAATGTGATAATGAAGAAGATGATGATGTTAAGAAAGAAAATTGTAAACATAAGAAGAAAAAACTGAAGAAAGATGAGGATGAAGAAGATGAAATAATCTCCAAAATAACTCCTGAAGTGCAACAGCACTGTCAAATGATTTTAGATCAGATAAATTTGAAATTGAAAGTGGTTACTTGGAAACCCACTTGAGAACAACTTGACACATCAGGCACTTGGTGAAGATTGGGAACTCTGATTCTGCAGATAATAGATTTTATTGATCTAACAAATATTCAAATAAAATTGTTCATGTGTGATTATCACACTCTTGTACAATCCATTATATTGAAGAATATCCTTTATGTGGATATTCATACTTAGTGTAAATATTTGTCCATGAAATCATTAAATAAATTTATCCATGTATAATAATTATGTATACATTATATTTACTGAATGGTGAATGAAATCCAGTGAAAAATCAAAATATAAGCAGAAAGGGACCATGGGTGCAAAGCTTTTCTATTCAAGGAAATTCAAGCCATTACTAAAATTCATTTTAATAATTAATAAAATATATTCTATATCACAATTCATTTTAATTTATATATTGTTTCATAAATTACAATATAAAAAATATAAATACTTGAAAGCACCACCTTTGATATTCAAATTCACATTATTTTAATGAAAATAATAAATTATGAGGCATTTATTTTTACATTCTTTAAAAAAAACCTTCATGGGATGTATTAGCTGACAATATGTAAGTACTTACATTAGATCATATTTTCATTCATTTCATTAGAAATATGAGATCCAACAATAAAAAAAATATTTACCACCATAATAAAAACACCATCATTTTGGAACAAAAGGTGCCCAATAAATCCATTAAAATTGTGATTTGGATACAGTGAGAACTGATATAATATATGTAAAAATAATAGAATAATTCCATTTTAAAAATAAAGTATGAAACTTTTAGTTCTTTGAACATATCACTGTATCTTGAAATCAGGTGCAGAATTAAAAAAATTCAACACTAAATTCATCTAAAATAGTCTCTGAGGAATGATCTTGTTAAAATTTGGAATGTCTTGAAAAAGTACCTACCTATTAAACACTGAGATATAGTTATCTACTTGCATAAGTTGACATTGTGCCACATTACAAATTTGAACCTGGCCATATTTCATAATAATAATAAGTGTCTATTAACTTAATAAAATAATAATTTAAATATCCTAAGTATCAGCATGTTCACATTTGAGATACTAAATTTTATATAAAAATCTAAGCAGCTTCATTTTCCACCTTTTCCCCCTTACCATTTTTCCGATTTATACATGGTACAAAACTCCAGAGGAACGATCCTGCAGATAGTGAAATTCCCAGACAAATAAAAAGAGAAACATATGACTTCATGGCCTCATACCACAAACCACACAGGGGGGGGCCTATTAGTTGAAGAATTCCATTCAAGAACAGTCCCATGCCGTAAGTGGACTGCAGACGTTCCTCTCCTAGCATATCTGCCATCACAATGGCGGTTATCCCCACATAAGTACCCGAAGCCAACCCAAACATTGCGCAAAATCCAGATATTATCCAATAGTTGGTGAACAGAGGCATGAGAGCAAGAGATATCCCCGATATAAACAGACCTCCAACGAAGTAGTAGCATTTGGGGAACGTTGTAAGATCCGATAAAGCTGAACCGCCTATCCTCCCAACTAAATCCAGAGCGGACACTATAGACAGTAAAAGCGCACCCTGATCTTTATCAAAGTCCAAACTCTTAGCATACGAAGGCAACAGAATGATGAAGTTCGTGTAACCGAGAGCGTTGGTAGCGTTAGAAATGAGGATGATCAGATAAATAGGATCCTTGAGCAGGCTCACATCGAAAAGTTTCGGCCGCTTAATCTCCACCTCATCTCCTTTGCTGGACTTGGCCACAGAACGCAAGCTAAAAGAACTCGCGAACGTCTCGGGCTGCAGCGTCAGCGTGCTGCCGTGATACGCAGTACTCACGTACTGAAAAGAACTCGTGCTGGGACTCCTCTTCGGCGCAGCGGATCGCCTTCGAGTCATCGGAACTCTACCTGGCACACAAACCTCCAAAGTTTGGCTGCCGTTCTCCTTCTCCGGCACCACGTGAAGCGTCGAGTTGCTGCTCATATTGTGGCCGGCTTTGGCCTTCATAACTTCTTGTTTGCCCTGCGGCATGCTGATCTTCCTCTCCCTATTCTGGGACTTCATGTGCTGGACTGCTGCGCTGGATACGCTGCGGTTGAAGCGCCCTTCCGAGGACTCAATGTGCTCCAGGAAGGAGTCATTGTGGGAGATGTGCTGCAACGAAGGCAGGCTGTCTTCTTGGCTGATGACGAACTTAGCTTTCACGTTCTCGTCCTCTTCCGGCGTGTCTTCTATGCGCTCGCGCTTCATGTGCAGCTCCACTTTGTCGTAGAACAGCGCCGCTACAAACACGTTGAGGGTGATCCCTCCCATCAGGAGCACCGCTCCTCTGTACCCGTAATTGACTAGCAAGACCCTGAGTAGGGGTGGGATGAGAATGGACCCGAAAGCGGAGCCCGATATGCAGATTCCGTTCGCTATGCCTCTGAGTCTCATGAAGTAGCTGCACACTATGTATACTGTGGGTGGGAAGGAGAGACCAGCTCCACAGCCCACGAGGAGGCCGTAAGTAAAGTAAAGGTAGTACACGGAGTTTGCCCAGAAGCTGAGTATCATGCCGGCTGCGGCGCAAATGCCGCCGAGGACTGTGACCACCCTGTAGGAGTACCTCAGCGATAGCATACTGGTAACGGGACCTAGAAAAAAAAGTTGGTTTTCAAATAAGGTAGATGGAAATAAGATAGGTAAGGCAGTTATTGGTTTGGGAAAAAAAGTGCCTATAGTGGAGAAAATCTGCCCAAAAGCTCTCCGTATCTGATGAGCTACAGAGGATGTTATAGTTTATCAGAAAAAAATATAGCAACCAGTAGAGCAGCAGTAGTATATATATGTACTTCCTCGATCGAGGTCTTTCAGCCCACAGTATTCTGATTTTTTTTCATCTCTTGGAGCGCACGAAAGAAAATTCCTAGAATAATGTTCGTGGTACAACGCGCTTACCTAGGAAGGACAGGAAGAGGAAGTATAGGTGTTGGAATTTTCTTCTGGAAGTTATAAATTTTTGGGAACACTTCCATTGCCAACTCAGCAAACAATTTTGGTCGGGCTGGCCCATAATATGCCGGCCAGAATTGGCAGAACGGCAAAGTTCCTGAGTAGATTGATGGGCCATAGTACCAAATACAAAAAAAAAAGACGACCGCCACGGGATTCGAACCCCGGTCCTCCGCTATCACTTGATTACAAATCGAACTAATTCCAATAACTGAGCTACTACAACCTATATTGATATATTATATGTGTGTACGAAATTTATTTGCGAGGTTAACTTTCGAATCATCATAATAGATATATACAAACGATGCACAAGGAAAAACATCCGATTCTTCGATTGACTATACCGAATTTCTGTCATACCTATTTTATGAGTCAGACGACTTGCCTATTTTTTTATGGCCGAATTTGATGACTTTTGTGATAATATTTGAATGCATTGACTAAACATTAGTAGTACCTATAGTGGTCGTTTATGATATGTACTTGGTTGGTATTTATGTATGTACACTCGTCTTCAGTGATCATGTCGCAGTTGGACGGTATGAGAGCTCTTATTGCAGATACCGACTGGCCATCGACTCTTTGATGCTATTTCTTATTCTTATCTTGCTTCAAAAGTATTATTAATTATTATTATTTCCCCCTCGTGAGTAGATCTTTTATTATTATGTCCTATTGTAAAAACTATATGAACTGTACCTATATGATTTTTTTTCTGGAAAACGCGAAAAATTGTTAATTTTTCGAAATAATCACTTATTATCGGTTGTATTTTGATATTTTTCGAAAAAAAAAAGATTGGCCCCAAATGTAGAGCAAAAAGGCAGGGCAACACAAATACGAAAAAATAATTTTTCTCACCCAATGAACTGTACAAGAAGTAGCAGAGAGCAGGTATCCACATGCCCTCTGCCGGCGAAGCCTCGAAAGCCTCCAGGAACTCGACGAACAGCACCCCGAAGGACTTGATCGTGCCAGGCACGAGTATGTTGACCATGGTGGCCCCGAAGAGCACCAGCCAGCCCCAGCCCCCGTCCGGGGGCACCAGCTTCCATTTTGGCATCTTCTTGTTACCATTCTTTTTGTTATCTAAGAGAACTACACCTGGAAAAGGTCGAAGGTTATTGACGAGGATGATCGATAGGGAATTTTGGAATTTCTTCGAAAAGCGGTAAGTGTTTTGGGTACTAAGTATACGAGGAAAATAGGGCAAGGTACCACTTTAAAAAATACGCGAGTTATTGAAATGAAATTAGACACTTATTTGTACCTTCAGTCTATTTGGGATTTTTCAAGAAGTCGATATACGATACGCTTCTGATTTTGTTATAGTGGATCGATCAATCATGACCAAACCACAAACCAGTTATTTGATTGATGACTTGCGATTTTTATATTCCAAGAGAAAGGTCAAGTGCTTTCGAATAATAATAACAATATTAGTATTACCTTTGTATATGTTGAATTCCTTCATTGCTCTTTTTTTAAAAATTTGATAATGACATAAGCAGCGAGCAGGTTATCATATTATGGATGAATCTACCTATAAGTATGATATACTTTTTTTTTTCTAAGGTACTCTTGTACGAATTTATTTACCAAATAAATTATCATGTCAGGTTTCTCTTCATGTGATACATTTTATTTCCAATACCTATGTACAGGGTGCTACTACGATGTAAACCTATACAGAATACAGTGTGTTTTTAATATGTGGGACAACACTTCAAGAGGTAATAGGTCGTCGCAAAAAAATTAAAAAAAGTTCTCATGAACATAGGTCGTAGAAGAGGGCTTCGTTTGTGAGCTACGGAGTGTTAAAGTTGAGAATAAAAAATAATTTTCATTGAATTGCAATAGATAACCGCGCTCAAAAAAAAATCCTGATATTCTGGTAAATCACTATACATAGTACATACCTACCTGAGAGTTATTGAACCGGTAGCATTATTCAGTCGATCTGACTCCCAGTTGAGGGGGTATTGACGTGTGATTATTCAGAAAAAAAACATGGGTGGCCATGAAATTTTCCGAAACTCTATTCGAAAATATGAGAGGTTGCAATTTTGTAGAAAAGAAAGCACTGTTAAGGTACACAGTTTTCAATAAAAACTAAATAATTTAGTTCAACTCCAAAATTTGAGCTATCGGATAGTCCATTCAATAAGACATCTGTTCAGATAACGTAATCTAGAACCCTATTTTATGTAAATATAGAAAATTCTATAAAGATTTGCAACTTTAACGCCCTGTATCTCGAAAATGAAGCCTTTTACGACTCAACCTAGCTTTTTCATATTTCGTATATGATTTAAAGGTACATACCGACTTGATAATAAAACGAATAAAAGTTCGAGACCGTGCAATTTTCATTTTTGTTTATCTCTTGAAGCGCACGAAAAAAAAATCCTATAACGAAGAACATCGTGCGTATAGGTACCTAGGAAGGATAGGGATAGGAGGTAGAAGTATTAGTTTTTTTGGTAATACTTCCATTAAACAAACAATTCCAAAGCTTTGCCGTTCTACAGACGAACGAATGTCGGTAGAGTATTGTAGGACATTTTTCAAGGTTAACGACGAAGGGATGTGCTGACTTGTCCTGTCGAGTTCGTCTGACTGGTATTGCTAGTGATGGAGTTATAGCAGAGATTTCTGAGGAACATTTCCGTGGAAGTATCTATAGAAAAGTGAAAGGTCGCCGACTTTTCTGCAGTGTTCTAAAAAGAGGTCAAAGAGTTTAGTGTGTGTGGCATCACCCACCAGGCGAATGGCTCTTCTCTGCATGGAATCTAAGAGGATCAGCGTATGTTTGGGTGCCGAACCCCATATGTGAGAACAGTATTCTAAAACTGGCCGTATCTGTGCTTTGTAGATCAGCTCTTGAATGGTTATATTCACATCAACATGCGTAACACCCTGTATAGTTTATTTTGTAATTAACACTATCGCATAGCACATTCATTTCGCTAAATAATCTTTGACTGCTTATTTATCTTATGTAAGTACCTACATACAATATGATCCTTGATTTATATACATAGTCTACAGTGCTATGAATATGACAAATAATGAACTGACAAAGCGATGAAAAGGAATCATTCAAAAATAGACTTTCTTATTAATTAACTGAATTAGTTTTTGTTTTTGATTGTAGAAAGAATTATGGAATTATATAATTCATATTTTTAAAATGGGTTTTAAATGGGTCATGGCAAAGGTCACTTATTTATCTGATTAACATATAAATTTGATACGAAACGACCAATTTTTTTTTCCAAAAGCGCTGGTGATATAGGTAATACACTTTTTAAATAATTATTTATTCCATAAAGTTACTGCGACAGGGAGTTCATAAATACGTACAGGGTGATTCACCATAAATGTACCCCCTCTAGCTCACTTATTTTTGAACCGATTTAAAAATTTGAAAAATAATCTGAAATGATTTTTCAAAAAAAAAAATTCCGTTGCATCAGAAAATACAGGGTGCTCGGAACAAACGATTTACAGAGTACTACTTGATTTTTTTAAATGAAACACCTTATTTTTCATTGTATTTTCAGATTCTCCCTGAAGAGCTGACTTGATCGATGTATCACACTCGGGGTCAAGCGGGAATGATTACAGAGATATATAGGGTGTTCAAAATCGAGATTCTTCAACTTTAGGATTTTTTTTGACGAAACTATTCATTATCGGTCATAACGGCTTTCATGTCCGTACAACAACTTTTCATTTACTATCTACTGACATTTAATAATTGGAACAGATACAAGGTGATCAGAATTCTGAACCTTGAACCACCCTGTAAATGTTCCAATTAAATGTCACTAGATAGTAAATCAAAAGTTGAGATAGGGACATGAAAACCGTTTTGACCAATGATGAATAGTTTCGACAGAAAAAAATCCTAAAGTTTGAAAAATCTCAATTCTGAACACTCTATATCTCTGTAAACATTCCCGCTAGACCCCAAGTGTGATACATTGATAAAATCAGCTCTTGAGAAAGAATCTAAAAATACAATGAAATACAGGGTGTTCCATTTGAAAAAATCAAGTAGTACTCTGTAAATCGTTTGTTCCGAGCATCCTGTATTTTCTGATGCAACGGAAAAAAATGTCTGAAAAATCATTTCAGATAATTTTTCAAATTTTCAAATCGGTTCAAAAATAAGTGAGCTAGAGGGGGGGGGGCATTTATGATGAATCACCCTGTACATACAAATAAAAAAAACCTTTTATATCTACTCATAATATGGTTATGTAATATAGGCTTGTGAGTATAGATCATTCGCTTTCACAAAATCCATAGGTCAGGCAGAGTGGCAAGTTCGAATATGATTAAAGGAAAAGTATGCACCTATACCTTTTCTCTTTTTTGTCGAATTCAAAGCAAAAATGCTGCGACACATGGATTTTGCACAGTTAAGGTATATTTTTCAAGCTGTGTATCTTCAACTTCCTAGCGAGAGGGTGTCACAAACCTAATATTTCAAAATTGGGGTCTTTATAGAGAGCAAATTTCAATGTTAACAATTTTGTATCACAACTATCGTTCGCATTTTTTGTTGAAAAACAACTGCAGAGAGTATTATTGTAATGAATAAAAAATGATGATTATATAATATCTTAGTCTTTGTGTACCGAATAATGGTTAAAACAAGTTGAAAATCTGAATACCTGTTCAATTTTACATAAAATATTGACTATTTTTCGAATTGTCTACGTTTCACTTATACAATTTTTATTATTTTAAAATATAAAGTTTGCGAAGTGACACTGAAAAAAACGACAGTAGTTGATTGAAAATGACAATCTCTATAACAACACCGGAAAATACACACTATGACCAAGTGATCATCTTCAGTGATATACACTGTTCGCCAACAGCAATGGAACCACCCGCACATTTCCGGAAAAAGTTATTAGGAGTCAAGATAGTTTGCAAATCACTTCGGATTCCAAATCAGTACGTCAAATTCGCAAACTTTCAATTTTCAGTGCTGAAAAATTAAATTTTGTTTCACTTTTCATGGAAGCATATATCCCCGTATCTTACGTAATTATTGACGCATGGTTCTGAAATTCATAGGAGAAAGAAAGAGTCCAAAGATAAAGTCAATTACGTAAGATACGAGGGTGCTTCCATGCATGAAAAGTGAGACAAACATAAATTTTTCAGAACTGAAAATTTTTCAGGAAAAATATGAATAGTTAGTGAATTAGGCGTCCTGATTTCGAATTCAAAGTGATTTTCAACCTATCTTGCCTCCTAATATAATTTTCCGGATGGTTCCTTTGCTGTTGGCGAGCAGTGTATATCACTGAAGATGACCACTTGGTCATAGAGTGCATTTTCGGTACCTATATCTCCCGCTCCAGCTAATTTCAGAATCCTAACTCTACAATTACGAATGATAAGGGGTGATGTTTCCATCAGAAGTGAAGTGAGACACACTGTATAGACAGTCAGTTGAACCATCAATGATGACCTACAGAAGTTTTCAGGTGAATAAGTTCGTTTTATCGTATTGGAACTTGCTTTCATTCCATAATCTGGTTTTTCCATGCAGTTTTCATACGCGTAGTCGAATGTGCAAAGTTGACCTAGATTCAACTCGTTTCATTCAATTACAATTTATGGAAATTACCCGAGTGATATCATACATCTTTTGTATCATTGTATATCTACAATCAATAGATACCCCTTTGGCCTGAATGGATGAACAGTGAATAGCGGTAAATAGTTCTCAATGAGAATAAATATAAGTAAAAATCATAAAATTATCAACAAACTCTCATTATTTTATTTTCTATTTTCTTCTTTGTTCGGCTATCTATAAAAGCGTGTTTTTTAGTTTTATAAACTACTCTTTATTTTCTATTTTAAAAAATGGCTAACTACAAAAGTGTGTTTTTTTAGTATTTTCATATATTTTGTAATTATTGCCCCGCCGTGAAATTGGGTAGTTTGCGTGCTTGTTGCCTCCTTGGATGAGGCTCCCTCTCCGGAAACTCCATTTCATACGAGTGCTTGCTGCAAGATACGTCCTATGGGACTGACTATGATCTCATTCGATTCAGCGTGTCATTTTCTAC